CGATTAGAATTGCTTCCATCTGAAGTTTCCATGAGAGATAATTAGTAGATGTGAGTTTGATGGAGTTGTTAATGTTGATGACGGTGAGTTGTAGGTATGGAGAGAAAGATGGCTGGGTTTTGGAACAAGGCTCTGATACCATAAAGGTTTTGGGAGAAGAATAAAATTATGGTATTATCTTTCAATAGGTATAGCAAAGAGCATATATAGAGTACAATTGCAATCTTATTCTAGGTAAGTATAAATAAAAGGAAATTAGAAATTATGATCTAATTCACAATACATAGGGAAAGCAAATCTTTTTATAGTTGGGAAATTTAATTTAAGAATATACTTTATCAGATTTCATTGGATCATTCAGTAAATTTAGCAATGCATCAAAAGGAATGGCAAAAAACATTTATGTGGCCGTTCCCAAATTTTGTTCAGCGTACGGCTTACTGTTTTTGTTGTTATAGAATATAGGTAAAAAAGGAGCAGATACGTTAACTTTTTATCTAATCTCTCTCTCTCTCTCTGATTAGACATTCCAGTACCATCGAAAAATGGAAACATCATGTCTATTAGCGCTATAATTGGGATAGTGATTGCTGTTCTATTTACACTCTTACTGGTTCTGGGTATTCTTTGGTGGAAGGGCTACCACATACCCACAGATACTTTAGAACAAGGTAATGCAATTAATGAACATTAGAGCGATCTGTCACCATCTTACTTTTCATGTGTGTATATATATAATGAAATGTTGTATGCAATTGTAATTAACTCTATCAATCTTCTTTAAATTTGTGTCAATTGCTGTTCTATTTACAGTCTTACAGGTTCTGAGTATTCTTTGGTGGAAGGGCTGCTTCATACCCACAGATACTCTAGAACAAGGTAATGCAATTATTGGACATTAGAGCGATCTGTCATCATCTTACTTTTCATGTGTGTATATGTATAATGAAATGCTATATGCAGTTCTAATTAACTCTATCCATCTTCTTTAAATTTGTGTCAATTGACTAGAAATAGAGATGCAGTTTATCTGAAAAACTTTTAATAATTCTTTTGGTAGATCTAAAGGGTCTAAGCCAACACACTGGATTATTTACCCTAAGGCAAATTAGAGTTGCCACGAACAATTTTGATCCGGCTAATAAGATCGGAGAAGGTGGTTTTGGTCCTGTGTACAAGGTATCCTAAGGAAGATCTAATTTTAAAATATTTATATCTTTATGTTTTTGTCATTAAAAACCCAGTCACTCGGGTTGCTAGAACCTTTTGATGTTTCTAATTTGACATAAAATGTTGTTTGAAGGGTCTTCTGTCACATGGAACCGCCGTAGCCGTGAAACAGCTTTCTTCCAAATCAAAGCAAGGGAACCGTGAATTTGTTAATGAAATAGGCATGATTTCTGCGCTACAACACCCTCATCTTGTAAAGTTGTATGGATGCTGTATTGAAGGCAACCAATTGTTGCTTGTCTATGAGTACATGGAGAATAATAACCTTGCTCGTGCGTTGTTCAGTAAGTCTCAAACACAGGCTTGAATTTGTTGCTTTTATTTGTGAAGGAATGAAAATGAGATAGATAGACTTGTCTGCATCATCCTTGGTTTTTGGATTAGTACTTTCGTTTGCAGGTCAAGAAAAATACCAATTGAAATTGGATTGGCCGACTAGGCACAAGATCTGTATTGGTATAGCAAGAGGTTTAGCTTATCTCCATGAAGAATCAAGATTGAAAATTGTTCACCGGGACATCAAAGCTACCAACGTGCTTCTTGA